TGGTGCCATCCTGCCTGTCCTCTCTGCACATCCCGCTTCTTGCCCTGCTCCCCGGCCTGGTCTGAGGGTCTGGAGACCTGGTTGTCTTGTGGGAAGGAAGAGGTGGCAGACCTAGCACCGAATCCAGGGCCTGTGAATGTGCCCCCAGGGCTGTGTTTGAACCTGTGGGGTTTGAGAGACAAGGAGAACCTGAAAGATTCCTAACAGCCCAGAGGCCCATGGTGCCTCTTTGGGAATCTGGGCTGAGCGGGATGACCCCTTGGCTTCCTGCAGTATTTATGAAGTGCCTACTGCATGCGCCGGGCCATGCCAGATGACATAGTGGGGTGAAAGGAAGAGAAGGCAAGACCTCGCCCTCGAGCTGTGGTTTAGAGGCGTGAGGATGGGCCATGTGACATCCTTGCTCGAAAAGCAAGAAAAGGCGCGGTCGAGGGACCTAGAAGAGGCAGCAGCCCTTTCCTCTGCTGACTTGCAGCTCAGCCTCTCAACTTGGCGTGGAGGGTTTTAGTTGTTAAAAGCTATACGTTATTTTATTACATACTCCATATTTATTTATTTATTCAGAGACAGGGTCTCACTCTGAGGCCCAAGCTGGGTGCAGTGGTGAGATGACTTACTGCAGTCTCGACTTCCTGGGCTCATGTGATCCTCCCACTTCAGCCTCCCAAAATGCTGGGATTACAGGTCTGAGCCATGGCACTCAGTGGCTGACAGACTGAGCCACGGCATCCAGTCTATTTCCTTATTACAGAATTCTCAGCACGGAGCTTTTCATTCATCTTTATATTGTGCAATATCAGTTTTAAGTTTCAGTGCATGTATTCAATGCATTTAACTCGTGAAATCACAGAAATGACAGTTTTCATAACTTACACATGCTTTTTTTTGAGACAGAGTCTCGCTCTTGTTGCCCAGGCTGGAGTGGAGTGGCGCTATCTTGGCTCACTGCAAGCTCCGCCTCCTGGGTTCCCGTCATTCTCCTGCCTCAGCCTCCCAAGTAGCTGGGACTACAGGTGCCCGCCACCACGCCCGGCTAATTTTGTATTTTTAGTAGAGACAGGGTTTCACCATGTTAGCCAGGATGGTCTCGATCTCCAATCCTCGTAATCTGCCTGCCTCGGCCTCCCAAAGTGCTGAGATTACAGGCGTGAGCCACCGTACCCATCTATTTAATTCTTATTTAAAAATTAACTGTTTTTCATCTCTTGAGGTGCACATATTCTACCAACACTGTCTGCCATTACCTACTGATAATGGAGGAAAGCGGAGGGGGAAAGGCACTCTGGGTGGCCTAGCAGGTTGCACTGGCTTTCTGTGTCATTTTCCAAGTATGTGGTTGGCTGACGTGCGGGTAGGAAGGGACATTATGGGACCTCTGGTGTCTGAATTCTCCGAACCCTTACTTCCTTCTGCAGGGGGAACAGGTTCTGCTTGCAGTGGGAAGGGCAGTGGCTCACCCAAGCCTCACCCTAATGCTGGAACCCCTACCCCCTGGGTCCACCATGATCCCACGCTCCTGGGCTCTTTCCTCACGGGAGTGCTGTGTTACCCAGCAGGCTTCGCTTCACTTACAAAATACAAAGACAAAATCGAGAATTTCAGGATAGTGGCAGCTTCTCAGTGTCAATTCCATGGCACATGCCAGGCAGGCAGCCCGGGGTGTGCTTAGTAAACCCTGAGGGCACCTTCTAGATTCAGGAGGCCACGGTGGTTGTGACCAAAGCCTGGTATGAGGGGCAGCCCAGGCCACTGGCTGCCTGGGACCCTGGAGTGGCTGGGGGCAGTGAGGAGGGTACCCTCCTCCAGGGGTCCTGGGGGTCAGGGAGGAGGTGTGAAGGCTCTGCTACCCTTGCCTCGGTCGCCTTGTTTGTGAGTCACTTCCTCTCTGCCCCAGCTTCCCCATCTGCAAAATGGGGGAGAAGCTGGGAGTGCAGTGACCTCACCATGTGGTTTGGAGCACCAGATGGAGAATGTAAGTGAAGCATTTGGCATGGGGTGGGCATGGAGTCAGGGCTGTCCCTTGGGGGCAGCGTTGATCCCCCGTGAGGCACAGGTAGGTCCGGCAAGTGGAGCCAGGTTCCTGAGGCCGTCCCCGCAGGTTGAGGGCCCTATGTGATCAGGTTGACAGCATCTCTGGTGTCAGGCCGCTGGCTGCCTGCCCAGCATGTGTTCCTGGCTCTGGCTCCTGCTGCCGGCCTCTGCTGCACCTTCTGAGCGTCCCACCAGGAGGCAGCAGGGGCTGGCAGCACCTCCGGTCCTGCTGCCGCGCCTGGAATTTGGGGCCATGGCCCTGGCCGGTTTTCTATCCTGCCTGTTTGCATAGAGCTCATTACCTGGCCTGGCATCTTGGGATTTTCCAGCAATTCCTTTCCATACTTGAAGCAGACATGGGGATGCAGGGGACGGTCATGTCTGCATTGTTGGTCACTGAACATTTTAAAGGTGGCAACACAATTGCCTTTAAAGTGATGTGGCATGAAAAAAATCGTTATTTATATTTGGCATGGCCAAAGAGTAAAACCTCAAGGGATGGTTGCTGAGGAGCGTTCAGGGGGCCTGGGGTGGCATCAGGGACCAAGTGTCTGTTTGCTTTCACAGACCCGTGAGTGTTCAGTGTCTTGAGCGAACTGGGGAGAGGAGACCCTGGCCTCTGATTTCAAAGGCGCCAGCGTTTTACCGGGGCCTGTGCAGATAATGGGAGAAAGGTGTTTTGCCAGGGACTTTTCCGGGGTATGCAGTGGGGCTGGTGAGGGGTCTGCCTTAGCAGGAAGCCCTTGCCTTTGCTGTAAAGAAACCAGCAAGCGACAAAATGAAAGCATCAAAGAGCCAACAGGATGCGGCCCGAGCCCTCCCTGGCACGTCGCCCCGAGCCGCGCGGGGAAGAGTGACCTTAGGGACCGCCTCACGCGCACAGGCCAGACGCAGGTTCAAAGTTCAAGGCATTTTGTTTTTTCACCTGTTTCCTACAGTTCTAAGAAACTTCTGAAGAATTAATGTGTAACTATATCAGACACTCAGCGTTTTCTCCAGGGAAAATAATGTTACAATGCGGGGAGGGGAGGGGAAGTGGCTACTTGATGAGACACAAGAAGGTTTCCATAAAATAAGAAAAACCCTCTCTAGGGGAAACGTGCACAACATCGCATGTGCTTCTTACTCTGTTTCCACTATGTAGAGTGGCTGCGTTTGCTCAGGACTGGCGCAGTGTGTGGCTGCTGGTGGTCACAGAAGGACTAGGGCAGCAGTTGGTGTCCTTGAAACCAGGGTACAGCCGTGATCGCCATGCCCTTTGAGAGTCTGGTGGGCCCAGGATCTGCTGGGGCCAATTTTGACACGAGATGTTGAATGACAAAAGCAAATTAAAGCTCTTTGCCAGGCCATCTTCTGGACCAGGAGTTTGAGATTCTGAAACTGCTTCTCCCTGGCCAGTGGCAGAGCCCCTCTGGCAGGGGCCTGAGCTTCATGCTACCCAAGTCCAAATCATTTTACTTTTTTCTAACAAAGTCTTAACTTGCCAAAGGGCAGTATGCATTGTTAGTGGCTTGATTTATCATGTGGAGAAAACAGATGCTTTGACATGATGACGTACAGATTTTACTAACATTTCCTCCTGTCATGAAATTTTCATATATATTGAGAGGAATATTTTCTTGAGGCATCTTTTTATAAAGGTGGTTTTTATGTTAGAAGCTGGTATTGGCCGGGCGTGGTGGCTCACGCCTGTAATCCCAGCACTTTGGGAGGCTGAAGTGGGTGGATCACAAGGTCAAGAGTTCGAGACCAGCCTGGCCAATATGGTGAAACCCTGTCTCTACTAAAAATACAAAAATTAGCCAGGCGTGGTGGCGGGCATCTATAGTTCCAGCTACTCAGGAGGCTGAGGCAGGAGAATCGCTTGAACCCAGGAGGCAGAGCTTGCAGTGAGCCGAGATCACACCACTGCACTCCAGCCTGGGCGAGAGAACGAGACTCCGTCTCAAAAAGAAGCCGGTGTCTATTTAAGATCCTTTTGTAAATTAATTTAAGAAGAGTTAAACACTAGCCCTTTCCTTGTTCGGTTCACCTGGTCTGCATATGCATGCTTTTAAATGTGTACCAGGCATATGAGGTGGTTGTGATTTGTAAACTATCATCATAAACTCTTAAGTCCTGCCTTTTACACTCTTACCAGCAGGTGGCTAAGAAAAAAAAAGCAAGCAAGAAAAAAATTTAACAGTTATGCAAAGGAGTCGTAATCACTTTCAAGTTCCACTTTAGTGGTGAAATATGAAACTATAGATGGACTGCATTTCAAGGAGAACTGTTGAATAAGTGACAGGCATTTCAGGCAGCGCCCAGCCAGATGGATAGCTCATGAGTATTCCTATTTTCTCAAATATTGGCAATGGGAAACCAGATTTCGCTGAACTAAAGCTTTTGGAGACTCTCTGAGCTTGTTCCACCTCCGTGCTGTCCCCTGGATGTCACGATTGTCCGGGCCAGTTAGGTTTGGGACACAGGTTCAGCTTTGGCATCTTGGATTTCCAGAATGGAAGATGCTTGAATCCTGACCATAGCAGCAGGCCGCCCTTATCCTTAACACATCAGCATCAGGGAATGACATCTGCAGAGATGTTCAGTGCCCTCAGAATTGGCTGTAGGAACCCCCAAAGTAAAATTCTCCAAACTGACGTTAATGTCTCATGCATGTCTTTCTTTGATTCTATGTATTAACGGTAAGATGCTATAAGGAAATCCATGCACGAGGGATGATGGTGTGGCAGGCTGAAACACACTTTTTAGATTTACTTTTGTGGACTGGATCTGTTAGAGTAAGGCCAGCATCCTAGGGCACAAACCGTGCTCTCCCCGACATTTCCACAGCGTCATGAAGGATGACCTTGTCCCATGAAACAAACCCCACCGTCTCCTTGCTGGTGGGTCAGCGGCTGCTCTGCCTGTCCTGTGCACCCTGGGTCGCTCTTCAGTTCTCTAACTTAATAACTTGGACCGGCAGCCTCTTGGTTGTACACCATTTTATTCTTCATTCGCTTTTCTGATTCAAAGTGAACCTGAGTGCCTTAATCCTCTAAGGGGAATTAATTGCTTGTTTCAGTGCTTAACTCTGATCCTGGCTCAGTCCCCATGGGGACAAGTTTCTTCCTGTTAGGATCTGTGTGTGTTGTTCTAAACACAATCAGAAAGGCAATGAAGTTTTTCTTATGACAGAAGCCAGAAATGCAGGCTATTTTCTTTTCTGTTGCATAAGTAGTGTTCTCTAACTTTATATTATGAAGGATACTATTGAACTCAATATATAAAATGTAGAAAATTTTAATTGGTCATTCTAGCAGGCTGGATTACTTCCTAGAAATGAAGGTTAACTTTTATTGCCTGGTTTTCTTTTACAGAAATAAGCTATTTATCTTTTGCAGAAAACAGTTACTGAACTGATTTTCCAGAGTTGGAATTAACCTTCTATGGCCTAATCACCATCATTTCTATGTAATGTCACCCGCCCAAGCATTTTTCTTGGTTTTGGAAAATCATTAAGGCCACAACCACTACTCAATATGCCTGATGCCTCTCCCACTTATAGTGTGTTCATTTCTATTTTTTATGGGGCTTCATTGAGAAGACTATAGCTAGTAGATATCTCTAGATGATCTTGATAAAGGATGGAGTTAGGTGGAGACCTGAGGAGGGAGCAGGATAAGGAAGGGCCAAGGGGAAAGGAATCCACATTCATCAGGTGCTCGTGCCCTCCCGGCACAGTCAGCAGTCAGTGGAGGGTAACTCTTTGGGGTAAATAGGAGGAAACGGAAGCTCAGGGACTTGAAATCACTTCCCCAAAGTCCCAAAGTGCTCAGGGGTGCAGGCAGGAATTCAAGTCAGGCCTGTTGTGGCACAGTGGATTGTTTGATACTTGCCATGTACTGTGTCCCTAAATGCCCGTCTACAGAATTCTGAGGTTGCCTTTCCTGATGCTGGCCCTGCAAGGGCTGGGCTCACACTGTGTCTGATGCAACAGGGCTGACTTGGGGGCAATTATTTCACATTAAAGTAGACACCAAGAGAAATATTTGTTTTAATCTAGAAAAACCCGGATGGCTTGCCTACAGCCGTTTCTAACCATTACTCATTAAACCAAGCCCTTACATTTTATCTAAGACTGTGACTCCTAACCCTGTGCCATGGGGGGAAAAAAAAAACTAGCATGGTGAGAGGGGGCAGGGTTGAAGACACAGTAACATGTGGCTCTCAGAAGGTGGCATCCCCTTCTGCAGTGGTAGTGTCACCTCTCCCAGCCTGGCCCAGGGGCCTGGTGCACCCAAAGAGCAGCCCGACATCCTCCCAGCCAGAATGAATCACAGGCATGTTCTGCTGTGGTTCTGAGAGGCATCTGGCCAGTGTCATAGACTTTTCATGTGTCCTGTTGGTTGTGATCCTCACAGCAGCCCTTGGAGATGGGCTGAATATGAGACAAGAAACAAGAGTACAAGGAGATGAGAAGCTCAAAAAACAACAAACAAAACCCGAAGCTAACAGAAGGAAAGAAACAGTAATGATTAGAGCAGAGATAAACAAGAGAGAGAATTTTAAACAACAGAGAAAATCAATTAAACTAAGAGTTGGCTGTTTGAAAAGACTAACAAAATTGACAGACCTTCAACTTAAATAAAAAGAGAGAAAAAAGCTAAATAACTAAAACCAGAAACGGGCGAGAAAACATTGTGTCCTACAGAACAACACAGCTTGCAGAAATAAAAAGACCAAGAGAATATTATGGACAAGTATGCCAACAAATTGTCTAACCTAGATGAAATGGACAAATTCCTAGAAAGACACAACCTACCAAGACTCAACAGACCTACAACTAGTAAAGAGACTGAAGCAGCAGTCAAAAATTTCCCCAAAAAGAAAAGCCCAGGACCAGATGGCTTCCCTGGTATATTCTACCAAACATTTACAGAATTCACACCAGTCCTCCTGAAACTCCTCTAAAGAATGAAAAAGAAGGAACATTTCAGTGTTGAGCATTAACCTGATACTAAGGCCAAAGACACTCCAAGAAAGAAAACTACAGACTAATATTCTTGATGAAGACTGATGCCAAAATCCTAAACAACACACTAGCAGAGTTCAACAACACATTGAAAGGATTATATGCAAAGGCCAAGTGGGATTTATTCCTGGAATGCAAGGATGTTTCAATATAAGAAAATCAGTCAGTGTAATACACCACATTAACAGCATGAAGGAAAACACACAGTCACTTCAACTGATACAGAAAAAGCATTTGACAAGATTCAACACAACTTCATGATTAAAACCACTCAACAAAGGAACAGAAGGAAATTACCTCAACCTCATAAAGGCAGTATATGAAAAGCCCACAGCTAACATGATACTCAGTGATGCCAGAATGAAAGCTTTTCTTCTAAGATCAGGAACAAGAAAAGGATGCTGCTTTCATCACTTCTATTGAACATAGTCCTGGGAGTCCTAGCTGGAGCAATCAGGCAAGAAAAAGAAATTTAAAAGGCATCCAAATCAGAGGTAAGAAGTAAAATTAACTCCGTTTGTAAACAATATGGTCCTGTATAGAAAACGTAAAAATTCCACCTTAGAACTTTTAGAACTAATAAGCAAATTCAGCAAAGTTGCAGGAGACAAAATTCATACAAATAATTATTGCATTTTTATATACTTAATAAGCAATCTGAAAAGACAAACTATTCCATTTACAATAGCATCAAAAAGAATAAAATACTTAGAAATAAACTTAACCAAGCAGGCAAGATGTGTGCACTGAAAAGTACAACACATTTCTGAAAGCAATTAAGGAGGACACATAGAAATGGAAAGACATCCCATATTCATGGATTGGAAGACAATATTGTTAAGATATCAATACTACCTAAAGTGATCTACAGATTAATGTAATCCTTTAATGCAAAAAGAGGAAAACCCAATCCAAAAATTTATATGCAAATATCAAAGGACCTTAAATAGACAGTGTGGTCTTGAAAAGAACAGTGTTGAAGGTCTCATACTTCCTGACTTCAAAACTTACCGTAAAGTTCCAGTAATCAAAATAGCATGGAACAGGAATTCCTCCTCATCTGTGGTTTTGCTTTCCATGGTTATTGTTTAATGGGTACAAAGTTTCAGTTTCGCAAGATGAAAAGGTGCTGGAGACCTTTTTCACAACTCAAATATACTTAACATTACTGAACTGAACACTTAAAATAGTTATGATAAATTTTATGTGTATTTTATCACAATTTTTAAAACTCCACAAATTAAAAAAGAGGAAATAGAAGGATTTGGTTTATCAGATAAAATTTAAAACAAGTAGGGAACAAAAGCATAGGGAAGTGTAGGGTCCTTTGCAAACCATCTCTGCCATTGCAGAGCCTGAGTTCTACACCATACTTGACAGGGTCACCTCCCCTGGGCCTCGGGGTCAGTGCAAGTGACAGAGCCAGAAAGGCTCTTGGAGTCCAGCAGGCCCAGGTTCAGTTCCTGCTGCGGCCTCTCACCAGCTCCAGGCCAGAGCCCTCATCTTAGTTTCTTCATCTGTTAAATGAAGATAATACCACCTACTTTATAGAGTTGAGAGCATTAAATAAACTGAGATGACACAAGCTACTTAGTGCGGGACCCAGTACAACCAGGTAACCTCGGCCGTGCAGTAAGCAAGGTCCCAGAAGTCCTTGCTGGGAATTAGCCCTCTTCAGAAACACCATCCTCCAAGACACTCTTCTACCTCTCTCCTAAGCCTGCTTGTCCACTCTTGGATGAAATATTTTTCTTCCTTTGCAGTTGAATCCCTGGAATAGTGAAAACAGTGGCCATTGCGTGTCAAGCACCTGCTCTGTCCTAGCATCTTACAACTCTATTCTGAAGTCAGTGCTTCTTCCATAGGACTGTTCTCACTTCTTTCCATTTTGCAAGTTCTGAGCCTGGCGGCAGTCTCCCTGCCTGAGTGGATGGTGCTGCCCCCTCTTACTGAGGGAGCGGTTTCCAAGGGAGAGCGCCTGTGCTGTGCAGCTGCCTCCCACAAGGCGCCCTTTGACAAGTCTGTCTCCTGTCTCCCCTCAATGACACTGTGGCTTCATGGAGTCTCACTGCACGCCCAGCGCTTAGCACAGGGCGTCCCTGCACGGCTGCGTTGTTCCCTGCATGGCTGCATTAGGCTTTCCTTTTCCTGCGAGTGCTGCCTCGTCTTTCCTTCCTCTCGTCTCAGCAGCAGGAAGAGCAAGTCCTTTCTCTGCCTCCCCGCTGCCTGGCTCCTTCAGCTATCACCAGCCATCCGCCCTACCCAGCCCTCACTCTGGTGCCACAATTGCTACTTTCCTGCCTTCTTCACGGGGACCTGACATACCCTTGAGTCTCCTATACCTGAAGGAAACCTCCTCGCCATCCTTCTAAGCAAGCAGTTTCTGTCTTGTCACTTCCTTTTGTTTTTTTTTTTTGTTTTGTTTATTTGAGACGGAGTCTCGCTCTGTCACCCAGGCTGGAGTGCAGTGGCGCGATCTCGGCTCACTGCAAGCTCCGCCTCCCGGGTTCACGCCATTCTCCTGCCTCAGCCTCCCGAGTCGCTGGGACTACAGGCGCCCGCCACCCCGCCCGGCTAATTTTTTTGTATTTTTGGTAGAGACGGGGTTTCACGGTGTTAGCCAGGATGGTCTTGATCTTCTGACCTCGTGATCCACCCGTCTTGGCCTCCCAAAGTGCTGGGATTACAGGCGTGAGCCACCGCGCCCGGCCTGTCTTGTCACTTCCTTTCCGGCTCACGTCAAGTCTTCCAAAGAGGAAGGGGCTAGGCTGGCAGTACAGCAATAGAGAAGACAGGGAGGACAGGCTCTGTGTCCAGCTTCTTCCTAAATGCTACCCAAACGACCCACAAGGACAGCGGAGGAAAGCCGGTGACATGCTTCTGGAAGATGGAAAACAGAAGTGAGTGACAGCTGACTTAGCCTGGAGACACGCAAAACTTAAGCTCCTGCACAGTGAGAGGCTGACAAGCAGTCAGCTGAGCAGTGTCTGCAACGCTGGAGGAGTCCAGAACCGCAGGCCACAGAGGCAAGGACAGGCCAAGACAGGGAAAGGCTGGGAGTGTGCACAAGGTGCAGGAGACGCCACTGCCTCCCCTCACACCCGGCAGAGGACGGTGGGTTCCTTTCTGGAGAGCTTGACAAGAACACCTCCATGCTGGGGACATGGGCCTAGCTGAGTGGTGGTGAGGTGGCACCCTGGAAACGAGCATTGAGGGAAAGCCTGCAGAGCTCCCAGCGCCTCTCCCCAGAGCCCCGTGTGAGGCCTGCCACTTTACAGAGCTCAGCCTCACTTCCAAAGAGTGGCTCAGCTTTTCCAGCCAAGATCATATGTGAAGAAAATCTCTTGAAACACAGACACCAAAACAGAGGAAAGAGGGAGTTGGGAGAAATGGAGGCAGTGAAGGGAAGGAAGAAAACGTAAAAAAAAAAAAAAAAAAGTATTGAGCCTGTGAATGAACAAGAAGTTGAAAAATATATATATATTGGAAATAAATATGATGGCAAAAAAAATTTTAATAGAAGAAATGCAAGATAAAGCAGAATATAAAGACCTGGAGGAAAGGAGTAAATATAAGATCACTGGAGGCTGAAGTCAGGACCTCCACCGCGGGAGTATTGGGAGAGCCAGAAAGAGAACAACGAGCAAGGAGGGGAAGAAAATGCCCCTGCAATCCAGGATAAGGAGCATTCAGATGGAAATTCCAGCACAATCAATGAAAACAGAGTCTACATCATCAGAAAATTCTAAGAGCCTCCAGGGAAGAGCTCGAGTCACACACAGGGGACCTGGATCACAGCACACTGACTTCTCTTCTGCAAGAACTTGGAAAGTTAGAAGACAATGAAGAAATGTCTTTAAAGTTCTGAGGGAAATGATTTCTAGAATCCTCTACCCAGCCACATTATTACCCAAAAGTGGGAGGGAATACACTTCAGCAAACTGCGACTGTCAGCCCAGCCCGAGGATGGGACACGAATGAGGGTGGCCTGGATGGCAGCGACAGAGAGCCCAGACTAGCACTGGGCAGGGAGGACCTTCCAGCAGATGGTCAGGACCCAGGTTCTGACCACGCTCTCAGAAAATGTGAGGCTGAATTACAATCCTAGAAACCTAAGCAAAATGCAAAACGAAAAACCAAATTTGAAGCAATTTTGAATTTCAAGAAAAACAAAAAGTTGTCTAAGAAAGGAAATGTAATCAAAGTGCACTCTGTGTCTCATCTGAGAGCCATGTTTGCATGGTTCTAATGCCAAAATAGATCTGGGTCTGGCCCAAAACTGTGATGAGTCTGTTGGGAGGATGGCGGGATGTGGTAGGAGAGCCAAAGGTCAGGCTTCTACAGTGATGGCAGCAGCAGCACACGCTACATGTCAACAGACCACACAGGGCCATGTGTGCTGGTAACCCACCGCGGTCTCCGAGGCAGGCTGCTGCTGTGACTTCAGTTTACAGTTGAGGAAGCTGAGGCACAGAGAGGTTATATGATCTGCCTAAAGTCACACAGTTAAAGTCTGCTTTAGAACCACTATGCTTACCCACTTTTTGAGTAGAAAAGCAAGATATGATTTAAGACATCAAGAAGTAGCAGTGTAAGTAACAATACGGAGAGAAATGCCAAACACAACAGTTAAAAGCCTTAAAAGTGTTGCCTCCAGGGAGTGGAAAGGGGTAAGAAATTTCATTTTTCTATAAAGCGATCTATTGACATGGACACATGCCCTTTTGAAAAACTGGATCAGGGAAAGCCAGGCAGGCAACTGGCTGTGGAGAGCTGGTCTGCAGTGTGCCTACGGCCCTGCCGGGCTGGCTGGTCCTAGGTCGCCACCAGCCTGGGACTCGGCTCCTCACCTGCAGGCGCTGGACTGAACGGTTCCCAAGTTCTCTTCTGGCTCTTCACGTTCCAGCAACAAACAAGACCAGTGATTTAGAGAACATGTGTGCTGTAACGACAACCAGACAGAGTGATGCGACAGACTAAGTAGGCCCTGCCTACTACTCCTGCCCCTCCAGGTCAGGCGCTGGCGGGGGCAGGAGCCACCCGGATGAGGGGAGAGAGGGTGCAGGAGTTGAGGTGGGAGAGTTGAGTCTGCAGCAGGAGATTAACAAGGACCCTCTGGGTGGTGCACTGGGGACAGACCCCAGGGGAACAAAGAAGACGGGGAGGCAGGCAGGCATTGGGGGAGGAGAACAGGGTGGGAGACGTGGCAGGAAAGTGCTGATGAGTCTCCTGGGGGCTGCTGGGATGTAGGTGAGGGGAGGGATGTGAGTCCTTCCAAATGCTGAGTCCCCAAGGCAGCTGCACAGCGGGGTCCAGACCGTCATTGCCCCCCAGGTGCTCGTCTTTTGGGATGGCAGCCGCTTCCATCCAGTGCCCTCTCCAGACACCAGCGCTGCTCTCAGCCGGTGCCTTTTGTCATTTTCTCGTACACCGCCGCTCAGTTTCCCCAGCAGCTGAGTCCTGGCAATTTCAGGCCTGAGCACTTGCCTCTTCTCTTCCTTCAGCACCGTCCTACCCCAGGCTCTCCTTAATTCATCTCAACTTTCCTATCCCAGCATGTCCCCAGGTCTAATCTGTGTCCCCACCCTGGCTAGGGTGTCCCAGGACTATCACATTGCCAGGCCCACAGGGCACACATATCTGGCCAGCCTCGTGTTTTTCCCACGGCCACACCTTTCCTAGGGCAATGTGCCTGAAATCTGGGGAACACTGTTGTCGCACAGGCTGGTGACAGAACCAAGAGGCAGCAGACATGCCTCTTGAGCAAAACTAAGGCCTAGAGCCCCCCAGAGCAGCTCTTGTTTGCTGAGAAGAAAACAAGTCCCATGAGTTCAGTGTGACTTCTTCAGGGTCTACTTGTCCACAATTGGTGGCAAATGCCAGTGTCCAGGGCCATTTCTGGCGGGTCACGAGCCACTGCTGGTACCTGGACAGCTGCATTTCTTGTCTTCCTGCACCTGCAGTCCCGTCTGCAAAGCCCATCTCAAGGAGTCGCCCCACAGGCTGACACCTCATGGCAGGGGCACACAGGGCAACGGAGGGGGGGCCAGGAAGAGCAGCCCCCACCCCTGTAATACTCATTTCCATTTTTGTTTGAGTCACTTTCAGGCAAATCACTTCTGTCCTTATGTAACAGTCTGTGGCCCAGACCCAGGCAAGTGGTAAATATTTACCTTCACGCTGGAGCCAAGATCGCTGCGGGGAGTCCCACGAAGCACCACTGCCCTCTAAGACCTTGGAAAGGGAAACAGCAGAAGGTGTGGGTGCGGGTGCTGGAGCTCCGCTGGGTCACACGGCCAGCACCCGAGTGGGAACTCAGAGCTGAAACCTGGGTTCTCACTGCAGCTGGATAACAGGTGTTTACAAAAGTGTATGTATTTTTTTTGGCTTATTTCTAATTTTAATAGTTATTGGCAATTTTCAAAGTCCTTTAAGAAACATTGAAAATTGCTCAAGATAATGGCAGTTCTGCAGGGCTCAGGTAGCAGGGCAGGCTGTTGAGACAGGTTTGACAGACTGTCCTAATAAAAGGAGTGCCTTTTCCCAGAACAGCAGCTCTAGAGGGCGGCCACCTTGCCTGGAACCTCCGCAACTTCCGCACCCACCGCACAAGGGCTGAGAACAGTGAGGTAGGGGCTGTGCTGGGCTCAAGAACAGGGGCAGTTGTTCACCTCGACAGGGTGTGTCTGGGAGGCCCGTGCTAGGACCGGGACAGGGCGTCTTCTGGCCTTGAGCTGCCACGATGGGGGTAGGGGTTGGGAGGGGCGGAGGCTGGTGCCCTCGGAGTTGGGGAGGCTCCGCTGTCAGCAGGTCAGGACTGTGTTCCTGGGAGGAGGGTGGCCTGTGCAGGCGAGGCAGGGTTGGCGCTGCAGGGCTGAGGAGTATCAGTCCATCCAGGTGGTGCGGGGAGGCTAAGGGCGCGGTCCTCCTGCCTAGAACGCAGGTGTCCTGTCTACTACAGACACATCAAGGAAGTCGCCAATGTGTGCCCCTTTCTCTAGCCTAGGGATTGGCAAACGACACCATGTCCACAGGTTAGAGCGGACCTGGTGCTCGTTTGTAAACAGCCCACAAGCTAGGAATGGCTTTGACATGTTTAAATGGCCGAAAGTCAAAATATCTCATCGTGTGTGAACACTGTAGGCCATTCTCATCTGCGTGGGAAAGTAACGCCTTATCTGAGCACAGCCAGGCCCATTCACGTGGTACGGGCTGTGACCCGCAGAGGGGAGCAGCCCCAGTGCAGGCTCTCAGGGCGGGAGCCGGGGCCCCAGGTGCTGACCTGTGGCTTCCCTTCTCCCCGCAGCTGTGCCCGGATGGCCCTCGTCTTCCTGTACGGCACCTTGAAGCGGGGTCAGCCCAACCACAGGGTCCTGTGGGACGGCGCCCACGGCTCCGCAGCCTTTCGGGCGCGCGGCCGCACGCTGGACCCCTACCCGCTGGTGATCGCGGGGGAGCACAACATCCCGTGGCTGCTGCACCTGCCTGGCTCGGGGCGCCGCGTGGAGGGTGAGGTCTACACGGTAGATGAGCGGATGCTGCGCTTCCTGGACGACTTCGAGAATTGCCCGGCCCTGTACCAGCGCACGGCGTTGCGGGTACAGCTGCTGGAGGAGGGGGCCCCGGGCGCGGAGGAGCCGCCGGCGCCCACTACGGTGCAGTGCTTCGTGTACAGCAGGGCCACCTTCCCGCCGGAGTGGGCCCAGCTCCCGCACTACGACAGCTACGACTCCGAGGGGCCGCACGGGCTGCGCTACAACCCCAGGGAGAACAGATAAGGGGGGCAGGCAGGGTGGGCCTATGCCTGAGAGCCCTGGGGCTCCAAGATGTGCCCAGCCCATGCTGGGTGAAGGCCGAAGCAGAACAGGGCCTTTTCCAAGGAATCAGCGGGAGAAGGAACCAATCTTTCAGTGGCAGCTGATTTTACAAATAATGTTGACACACAAATAGCAAGGTGGTTCCCTCCCATCTTTCCACCTGGTAGGAAAAATTCAGGATTTTAATACCCCTAAATGACATTTAGAGAACTTATGTTATGCCTAATTCTTCTGCTCTTCTTCCTTGTGATTTTTGTTTGCTCAGCTTTGAGCTCAAGATAATATTTAGGATCAATGTAAAGACTTGGTGTTGCAGCTAGATTTTAGCAGCCCTATTACACTGATTCTGGCCTGTAGCCCCTGAGAAAGCTGATTTCACACGGCTGGGTAGAATTTGTAAAGAAGGTCCACAGGGCAAGCATGCTGTATATCAGAGTGCGTACAGCACCATTCTTCATAATTTTCAGATCAAGCTTCATAGCAGATATTAAAGATTATTTAAATTTGAAGTTGATGTTTTGGGAAATCAAATATAAAAGTGTTGGTACTGTGTTTGACCACCACTTCTTTGGTATACTTACTTGGTAGAAGGTTCTCTACATTCTGATCTAGCAAAATAATGAATACCCACTTGCCGGTAGACACAGCTGAGCGTCCAGACTTCAAGTGCAAGTTTATCTCAGCCCAGATCTCAGCAGCCAGGCCCGGTCCCTGCCCCCTGAAGGGAGAGCATTTGGGGGTGGTCCTTTCAGAGAAGAGCCAACGCATTAGTAATTTGTTCTTTAGGCCTGACAGAAGCTTAGCTTCCAAATACAAACAGCACTTAAAATAATTTTAGCAAGGCACAAAGTACCAATTACTACCCACCTCCATCTGATAATAATTGTCAGCATCGATTCAACTCGATGCACGGCTCTTTGCTTCTGCTTCCCAGCAAAGTCTGAAATGTATTCCAAGAATTTCAGAACCAAATGCAAATGTAGCTGCTGTGATCCTTAGTAACCTTGTTCTCTGTTGGGAGAGCTCACTTACTCTTCAACTTAATGGTAGACTGTGATTGCTAACTGCATCTGGCACAAAAACATGATCATTATTTTTAGCTTCTTTTGCTTAATTGGAAACTTGCTTCACAAAAAACACAAAAAGGCTAGGAGGGGTCTCAGCTGATGAGTTCGTGGCAGCCCTGTGCTTGACGGGGTGGGTGATGCAGCCCAAGCTTCCTGCGACTGCCCTGGCTTGTGCAGCAGGGAAGGGACCAGGCAGTGCGCTCATCCTCAAAGTAGTGCAGACAGCACCCCCGGCCAACATGGAAGCTTCAAGGTGACCTCCAGGAAGGTGACCTCCAGGCGGTCAGCCAGCAACACTACACCCACATAGAGACACAGCAGGAAAGGGATTGCCAAAAATCTGCATTTGCAGTCTCCCATCCTTAGGAAGTTAGGAAAATCAGCACCAGGAGTGAGGGCCTCACTTCCAGAAGAAGTAAGGCAATCAGATGAAAAAATGGCAAGTGCTAATCTAATAAAGCAAGGCAAATAACTGACATATCAATCTTTTAAAAGGATCACAAAGAAATGCTGGTAGTCTACTGGCAGAGGCTGTCGCCTATGTGTACACTGTCTTCAAAGAAAGGGCAAACTAATATTTAGACAAATGATCAGTTTGATTGATTTAATTTTCATACTAGGAAATCTCACAGAAGTACAAATCATATGTACAAGTATTTATATCAGTGAAAATTTCCATTGGTGATTTTTTGGCAGAATATTGGTCTTGACTCTGGAATAAATGACGTAAACGTAGCTGCACAGGGGTGTTCCTGTAAAATGCTTGAATCAATTGTGTGTCAAAGCATCACACAAATGGCTAATTAAATTGGGTGATGACTGAAAGGTTATAAATCCTTCATTCCAGCTCCACGAGCAGATCCCCTTCTCCAACTGTGTCTCCAGCTTGACAGTGCACAGATTTCACCTTGAATTTTAAAAAATGCAGGGGGAGGGAAGAGTAAGAATTAGTAACCAGAACCAGGGGGCAGCAGGCTCCTAATCCATTTCTAGAAATGCACAGTCCTGCAGGCCTAGCAGCACAGGCACACGCCACCCCACCAGAGCCCAGCTAAGGGACCCTGGTGAACAGGGGGGCGCCATGGTGGCTGTGGCTCACCCCTCCCTCTCCGGTCTCCTCTGTCCTCGGCACCCTCACAGTGGCTGGTCTGAGGGCTGCTCTCCGGGGCACTTGTGTACTCCGGCTCCTCGCGCTGGACACCCTCAGGTCTAGGCGGGCTCTTCACTGCCTGGTGAGTTCTAACCCCTAGCCTCCCTCTCTATGGTTTCAGGTTGTGGAAATGTTCTCTGAGAATTAATGGAACATTTAGTGTAAAAGAAAAAAAGGAACAACACACACGACAGTCAGATCAGCCGCTGAGTAAGAGCAGGACCTCCCTAGCCTGGGCGGCACCTTCCTTCTGAAGGGAAATGGAATCCTTGGCAGGTGGGGCTGTGCCGTCATCCTTTCCGGCACCATGGGTGTGTGGAACTGTGCCTTTTTGTCCTGCCGGTTTCAGTCAATCTTTATCAAGTTTTGCTTTCCCAAATTTGGGTTCCGACTTAAAATTAGCAAGGAGGGGGTTAAGGTGGGGAAGAGACAGTCATTTGACTTCTTGGAGGCTCTTGCTTGGGCCTGAAAATGAACAATGGGCTAGAGCTAATCGGCCACTGCAGACGCTACTTGGACTGAAGAGGCTGCTTTCCACGATGCTCCTGCCTCCATTTAGCAGCCCTACTAGAGGACGCAGCGTTAGTGATGCTGCGACGACCGGAGTAGAGAATCTGTTTCCTTTGTGAACTTTTTCTCTGGGAGGAAAAGTGGCCTCGCAGGTAGAGACCAGGGCCTGCTACTTTGCACAGGGGCTTCGGGCCACTTCTGCTCTTCCTGGCTGGATTGGAACCGAGAGGCCTGGGGATGGGGAGAGGTGAACACAATGCACAAGGCGGCTCCAAGCAGGAGGGCTGAGGGAGACCTAGGCCACGAGGACAGGAAGCCCACTAACGCATGGAACCACACCCCTTCAGGGAACTGAGGCCAAGTTCATTTCTGCATCAGCACCTCAGACCCGCAGCACAGGGCCCTTGGCATGCGGCGGACACACGTTCTCGGTCCCCCACAACTAGGCCAAGTTCTCATCGCAATGGATGTCATGACGCTAGGGCAGCACAAATGTTAAATCCCGAAGAACGGATACAAATTTTTATACGAACAGAAAGCAACATTTTCTTGTTCACTTTTAAAAAAAAGTAATTTAGAAAGAATTCCTTAAAATACCAAATCATGCCATTCTACTCTCCATACCCCACCAACACGGGGCAGCCGTCCACACCCCTCCAGACTGGCTGGCTGGGCTCAGGAGCCCCTGGCATCCACCTGGGCCTCTGTTCTCCCAGCCGGGACCAGGCATGACACCCCTGCTGCCCCTTCCTTCTCTGAGAATCCGTTTCATCGCCTTCTGCAGTGACAGAGCATGAGACAGAGGTTGTGTCTCTCTCTGATGCAAACCTGGTTAGGAACTGATGGATCTCTCTTTGCACCTGATGTCCCCAAGGCACGGCCACATGCAAAACACGGCCAGCCTTGCGCTTCCGATCATGCTCCACCATGAGACACTTCCAAACCAGAACGGCCCTCAGAAAGGGACCCTTTACCCACTAACGGCATCTTTTTCGTCTTTTTAGTCACAGGAAGAATAATGAAGTTATTGCTTAAAAGGACTTTTCTGTTTTCTTCAAGAAAAAAAAATACACTTGAGTTTCACTATTAATCAATTTCAGTACTAATAGATATTCTTTTTTTCTCCCTAAATAATTAAGTCCCACATGTACATGGGGTTTCGGCTCCTCTTGATCTGCAACTGAATTGTTCTCTTTGTAGAGAAATTGTCTTGAAGAGTTACATTAATTTTTGCAATCTGTAAAACCGTTTCCTGCTGTGTCACCTAAGTCTCAGATAACTAACTGCCTCCAAGACAGATGTAAACATTAAAAATTAAAGACCCCTTAATTTGAAAGACATTAAGGTGAAGAACAATTGTTCTCTGACTACCTGAACATAATGCACAGAGTTTTTTGGAAGGCACGCTCTCCACGAGGCAGGGACGCATCAGGGCAGAAAGGCAAAAGCTCCCAATCCTAATGTCCTCTGTAGGAGCGAGAGGCAGAGGGTGCCTCTGTGGCCCTTTCCAGCCAAACCACCCACGATTCAAAGGTGGGTGTTCCTCCATCACAAGGCCAGCCTGGGCTGATGGGGACTTGGGGACTTACCGTGCCAGTTTTCCCAGCTGTCATACTATTCTGCATTTTCATGGCTTCAATCACACAAATTTCTTGACCTTCTGCTACCTGGAAACAAATTTTAAAAAGGGCAAAAGTTTTAAAAGCATTCTAATTTTGCAATAACGCTTAGGAATGAAGCCATTAAGAAATTCTTTGTCAAATGCCCCAAAATATGTGCCTATGAACAGCAGCAACAATCTCTAATTAGTTTCCTATTCCGAGCTCATCTTTAGGAACAGTAAAGAAACACCTTTCTCTCTCTCATAAAGTCCTTGTTGGAAAAAAAGCCCTGGCCCTGGAGAACTGGGGGCCCTGGCTGTGGGGCCTGCCCTCGGGCTCTCTGAGTCTGGCTCTGCCACTAACAGAGCTGCTGGGAAATGGGAATGTTTTCCACTTGCCTGAAATGTCCAGATAGGCAGATCTCTACAGACAGACTCAAGGTTGCCTGGGGTTGAAGAGGGAAGGGGAGTCACTGCTGAAGGGTACAGGGTTTCTTTCGAGATAAAAAAAGTTCCAAAATTGATTGTGGTGACAGCTACAGAAGTCTGAATTGACTGAAACCACTGAATTGTACATTTTAACATCTCACTATAGCTGTTACCCAAAAAAAAAAAAAAAAAAAAGCCCCACCAAATACACACATTTCTGTCTACAGTCCCGGGGAGCTGGGAACAGAGCTCAGGCCTGGCGCCATGAGGACCACTGGTCCCATCCTCTGCAAGACACAGCGGGTACCCACGAGTACCCACAACGAGGCACAAGGCAGCTTCCGGAAAGCCCCTCCCGACACGGGAATGACTTCCAGAGCTATATGCTCTCCACGCTAGGAGACTGGGAGCGCCCACGGGCCCTTGCTCAGACTGCGTTCAGAGCTTGCCTTTCATTCTGCGGGGAAGCCAGGCTGAGCTGGGTGTAAGCCCACTGGGGTTAAGCCCGAGGCTTCCCTGCAGGAGTTAGCTGCAGCTGAAAACCATGCTGTGGGCTCACTCCGCTCTGCCTAGATGGGTCAGCATCCTGAGCCGGCCAGGTTTTTCTTCTGCTTTTGTGAAAAAGGGCCTCCCAGTCTTTGAAACGGGCAAGTCCAAGTTCCTAGGGCAATGGCTATGTAGGATGGGTAGGTGTCCTGGCATGGGGCTCCTGGCCCTTCACACCACTGTGGCCGTATTCGTCCAATGCCGCAGAAGCGCCTAGAGAATGTTCTTTCCTGAAATCCCCAGATGATCTCCAAGTCCCCCTCTGGGCCCCCCGTGTGGCGCAAGCTGTCCTGCTGGCACTCTGGAGCGCCCGAGCCCGATGTACTCTTTTCCTCTGCTGTTCAGGTGGTGGGCTGCTTTTTCCTGGCACAGAAATATAGCAAGAGAGACGATGCCAAGGCTTCGGCGCTGGCATGGAGGAGACACCGCGCTGAGGAGCTGGGCCTGGAAGCACTGCCCGCGCTGCCCTTTTTGATTCATTTTCACCTGGCATCTGCATTCCAGGGAGAGCGAAGAGTCGGCCTCGAAGGCTGTTTGCAGGGCACAGGAGGGGCGGCGCAGAGACAATGCAGTCGCTCCCTCCAGTCGGCATTTTAGAGCCTTTTTTCTCTCTTCCAAGGCAGGCAGAGACCAGGGAAGCCAGGAGCAAGTCCGGTTCACTGCAGCGCACCTGCCAGCCAGCTCCACACAGGGGACCCTGGAAGCTTGGCTGTGTCCTCTTAGAAGCTGGACTCACTGCGATCGACTCTGACCCAGGACTGAGCACTCAGGCAACAGGACTGGGAAATGGATCCGAGACTCAACAGAACATAGTAGAAATGCCATCCAAAAATGAGGAATCCACCCTCCCGCTCTGGGCCCCATGCTCTCTCCAGGTGGAGGAGCTCCCTGGGGACTGCATGCCAGCCTCCCACACACCCACCCAGCCCTTCCTCTGCAGGCATCTGAGGGCCCAGGACTGGCCAGAGCCCTGTCCCCCCGCCATGCACACTGGCTTCACATGGGTGGCACAGCCCCTGCCCTCTCTGCCAGCAGGTGTGCCCTTCTGCCACTCGTCCCCTCCCATCCCATTGCTCAGAATCTGCGGGCCAGACAGGCAGACAGCTCCTGCTTCTGTTTTACAGGATCTTCAAGTGAGCGAGTTAGCAACTAAACTGCAAATATGAAGAAATGCGGCCTGGGGATTTCCAAAGGTCACGCCAGGGGCAAAGGCCAATCTGACCCCGTTACAGCTCTACTCTGGGCTCTGCCAGGGCCTGGGAGCAAGCGGGTGGTGGACAGGAGCTTAAGGGGCTCTGCTGTGGCTGCCACTGACCATCTTTCTGACTGGCTCTGTGCTTCTAATGTGGGCAGTTTGCAAAGAGGTAATGCACAGGTAACCCCAAGTGCTGGGTCCCCAATTGTTCATCAGAATAAAACCTCGGATTTAGCCTGAGACAATCAGGAAAAGCAGGGAGGCCTGAAATTCAAACAGTCCTTCTCTCTGATTGTGAGAGTCCGGCAGTTCAATTCAAAGGACTTTAGAGAAAGCGTGTCCCCACTGAAGCGATCCCACCTTCTGCCCCATCCAAGCACAGCACCAAATCATAG